TTGCAAATATTAAATTTAATCTATTAGCTTGCAATTAAAACTAAAATAAAATCTTTAAGAAAGATTTTTTATTTTTAAAGTGAATTTTAAACCTTAGATATTGCTTTTCTTTGGTGGTAGTTATAAATATATATATATATATATATATATATATATATATATATATACAGGGTGGGATGGGTAAATTGTCACCATTTTATATTTTTAATTTTGTACGTGCACATTTGTTTTTGATTTTGTTGACTGCACAGTATAGTAGGGTTAGTTGAGCACTGTCTGTGAAAAAAAAGGTCACCACGATGTAATTCACTCCACCAGAAATTTGGAAATGGCATGCTGTACTGCTTGGCATTTGCTCCAGAAGCTCCAATATGAACATTTCAGAGTGTTCATTCAACTGATTTTGATCAAACTTGGCATATACATTGTACAATGTAAGAGATAGGTTCTTAGTATAAAAAAATAAATAATCGATAAAGCCAATCAAAAATCGATAAATTCAACTTTTTTCCTTTGCTTTTGTTCACACTCAGTATGTAAGTTACGTACATTATGATGAGATCAATGATACTTCATTTTTATTTCCATGTGACTGCATTTAGTGAAAACTGCGAAAAACGAAAAATTGATTTCAACACAAATTGATTTCAACACAAATTTTAAACTAAAAACTCCCTCAATTTTCAAGCAATCTAATACAAATTTCACTCAGTTGTGGCCAACAATAAGTTGATTGTTTAACAGTGATTTAAATTGATAATTGAGTCCAACCATATAATAAAAACCCATGTAAATAGTAAAAAATGATGATTTTTATTGTTTTTTTTTTCTTATTTTTCATTGATCTTTCAACTAATTTTCATCAAACTTAACAATTGCTTTATAAATGTAACCTCTTTTACATCCCTGGTAGCACACTGACAAACTTAAATTTCAAAAACTCAAAAATAATTGTGGTCTGAAGTGGGTCTTCATGTTGCCTGTTTTACCCCTCATGTCCTCAGCTAATTTCGATTGAATAAATACAGATTATTTCTGTTATATCAGTAACTGCATTAATTCAAAATGTTTTTTAATGAAAGTACTTTAAAGTAATTGAAGAAGATAGACTTTGTTACATCTAAACATGATGCTGTTTTTGCTTCATTCTAATTGAATGCTTTTTTGATCGACCAGCTGGGTATGGCTGCTAGTATATATATATATATATTCTAAGGTAATAGATTTATTTATCAATGTGACAGATTTTTATCACTTTAAACATTATTTTTAGTGGATACTCATATTTGAGTAGGCACTCCATTTATTTATTAAACAATATATTTATTTATTTTCATCTACTGGCCTGAATATTCAAGAAAACTTATAAAATAAAAATATACTATATATAGAGAGCATATTTTTCTTTAATAAGATTTCTCAAATATTCATATTGTCAACTGAAAATTACATAAAGTACTGTCACATGTGGAAATATTGTTTTTATTGTTGTCTTGATGGATTCAACCATTTTCTTTTGATTTCTTGATACAGTTGCATATATTTGCTTGGGAGAGTAGTAATTCTGTTAGGAAAGGTGAAATAGGGAAAAAGCCTGGGCATAGATTAATATTTGGATAATATTCAATGGTGGCACACTCAAGGATTTTCCTTCTGAGTGAGTTATTTTCTTTTTTTATGAGTGTAGAATTTTTAAAATCAAAATTATGGTTGAATTTATTTCTATGTATGACGTGCATTAGCTAAGTTGTTTTTTGTGAGGTCTCTTTTGTGCTCATAAATGCATTTTTTTAAATTTCTACTTGTTTCTCCAATATATTGGGAGGAACAGTTTTGGCAATTTATTTTATAAATGCCTGCTTCAGAAATATTATTGCTATTAGCGTTTGGGGATCTGAGTATATCCATAATGGTTTTGGAAGTGTTTTTGACTATTTTAAGATTATTTAGATGAGAAAGGTTTTTCTGGGTAGTGGACATGACAGAGTTGGTCGGTAGTATTATGCATATGTTTTCATGTAATTTATTATTGCGGATTACGTTATTATTTTTGTTTTGGTTGTATATTTTGTATGCCTTTCTTGCGTTGTGGATGAAATGATATGGGTATTGTAGGTTTTTGAATGTGTTTTCTATGTATGTTTCTTCTTTAGGTAAATATTGGGGACTGCAGATTCTTAATGCTCTCAGATAGAAACCTATGATAATTCCAGATTTAATTTTAGAAGAGTGGTTTGAGTAGAAACTGATCAGATCATTTTCAGTTGACAATATGAATATAATAGTGTTTTCTAAATTCTTCCTGTTGCTAAGGACATTTTGTTTTGTTATTATTAGTTACTTTGTTTTAATAAACTCATTTTGTTTTTGCCTTGAAAAAGTCCACATTGGACGAAATGCGTTGGCTAATATTAGTTTTCCTATTGTCTTTTACATTTATAAATATTGTCTTTTTCTACAGCTTAACTGAGAAATTTTTCATATATATATATATATATATATATATATATGGGGAAGTGGGTTGTCTCCCCCTACATAGAAGTAGAAAAACATGTGACAGCTATCAAGTCTCAGAGATACACAAGGACCAGCATAGAGGATAGACACTCACACAAGGAACTGGGGCCTGCTCCTAGGTCAAAGGACCAGCTCCAGATGAAGAGAATCACACACCTGTTCTGTTGAAATGGGTATCTGTTATCTGTATCAATAAAGGACCCCTCTGGTAAGTCATACTACACAATGAGAACATTTTAGCATTCTCGCGCACACACACACACACACAAATATATATATGTGTGCAATGTATAATACAAAAGTCACTCTGAAAGTAATAATTCCTAATTTATTATGTTGAGCCATGATATCAGAAGCAGATGTTCTGTTATGACCATAGAAGTTGAACCTATTTACCAATTACCAAATTTTTTTTTACCTTATTACAGTAGCAGTCTAGCAAAATGGAGTCTGACATGAAAGTAACTATGAAGAAAAAGTGTTTCATTATATTCCTCCATGTGGAAAAATTGCACCCTTGCATATTTATTAACCCTTGATAAACACTTAGAGAGATCAAACAGGGGATGTGATCACAGATGGTGGATAATGTGCTTAAGCAGTGGGTTACCCAGCATTGTGGGTGACAAGTTCTGGACAACCCAGTACATCTCTTAATCCATAAAATGAAGAGCCTCTCAATCAGTTCATCAATGTGAATCAGTGGATTACAGGCAGAGAACTGTAAATGGTGTTGAAGTTCAACTCTGTCATTTTGGAAATAACACGGCCAATTTACACTACTTACATCATTTGGATTGTTCATGATGTTTCGGCTGTTGTACACTCCAACCTTCTTTAGGTGATATACATTGGAATTTCCTTTATTTACCCCACAACAGTACATTTTTCTAGTTCCAAGTATCATGCCTTTTTTGGATATCTTAGTATCAGTTAATTCTCTTTAATAACTCTCCAAGTTTTTTTTTTTCTCCAAGTTTTTGTTTCCTCTGCTGTGGCCAGGTATTGAACTCACAACTCTTTGACTCAAGTCACTCTTTGGATTACTCAACCAACGCTTTTATCCACTGGGCCATATGTCCTTGCAGAAATTCTAATGTAAATCGCCTGAAGAAGGTTGGAGTGTACAACAGCTGAAATGTCATGAATATGGCAGTAAAGATGAGGGCAACAGTTCAAACGATGTAAATACCTCATTTCAGAAATAAAGAGAGATAACATGGCCAATGTAAGGATGTTGCAAAATCTGTGCATGCGATAAATGCTTAAACAAGAACAGAAAGGCCACAAAATGCTAGTATATCAGGACTTGCTGAACAATTATGAGATGAAAGGTGACAATTTCCTGGGCTGCATAATCACTAAGACATAGTGTGACCAATATGAGCTGGTGTCAAACTGGCAGTTCAAGATATGAGCAAAGTAATGTGCACTGTCTTTTAGAATAGGAAAGACATGGTCCTTCTGGATTTTTTGGAACCTGAATAAGCCCTTAGCTCTGACCATTATATTCTGATGCTAACTTAGCTGAATGACCAAATTTCAATATTGAAGACAATCTTTTGGCATTATCATGTTGCAAACAAAATCACTTGTCTCCTATTTTGTTTTCAATCTTGAAATGTGGAGACTTTAGATCACAATGCAAATTTGGGCTGGACTGTCCTACCACACTGTCCATAAAGTCTAGATTTGGTGTTTTCCAACTTCCTGTTTGGGTCAGACAAAGATGGACAATGGCAACAACACTTTCTTGCTGCTACCAAAAGATAGATTACATCTACTGTTACATCAGTTTATGAGCATGGCATGTAAACTCTTGTTCTGGCAAAAATGAATAGCCAATGGCAGTGACTATGTGGAAAGATGTCTTGTAACTGAAAACTTTCTCTATCTGACAATATTATTGTCTTCTTGTTATCTATTGTAGTTTTGTTAGAAATAAACGGGAGTCATTACTTTCGGAGCAGCCTTTGCAATGTGACATATATGTATAATGAAAACCATAGCAAAACAAAATTTGATATGGTACACAGATTTTAAAAAAATATCCTAATTAATTTTTTCATCGACCCTCATATTCCGAATATTTTTTATTTTGAAATTCATAATAGAATGTAGAGAAAAAAAACAGTATGATAAGTATAGGATTTGAAAATGCAAGAGACTTAACTCAGAACTGAAATAAGATATATTATTTCCAATAGAGATATTGTAGAGAGCTTCTTTTAGGATTGAGAGAGAAACAGAAGTTTGATAATACTGAAGACAAGCAGAAAAATATTACTGCACTTAATTTTAATTTTTTTCAGTGACGTTAAAAACTGTTACTTCTAAAAGATTTTACAAAATTAAGATCCAGAATATGAGGTCAGATAAAAATATTATCAAACACATTTTGTAAACTATTTTGACACTGACAAAGTCTTCTTTTGGTTACAAAATGACAATTTATTGACTTTTAAATCTTTCATTTTGAATACAGCCTATTATTTTTCTTTTCATTGTTCTAGATGGATCTTGTAGGACAGCAGATGATGACAAAACATTGACTTTCACTGCAAATGAAATAGAAAAGAAAGAAAGAAAAGTAGTAAATAAAAAAGAAAGAAAATAAAAGAAGTAGACAAAAAACATATTTTTCAAAATTGTTTTGGTACAATTTTTGTTTTTGTGCATCTTTTGTGTCTAAAAAATAAATAATAAAAAAGTCTGTATGAAAATTGAACGGAACAAAATGAAGAAGAAATGGAAACTGATATTTACAGTAACTGAATAAATAATTTTATGTTGAACAAAAAGTTGGTAATTCTTTGCTTTCTGTTAGAAAAAATGTTTCAGATTTGTAATTTGTTTTACTGTTTCTGATAATTATGCTGACAGATTGTTTTATTTTTAGAATAAATAAATAAAGCTGATAACCCTGACAAATGTGGATGCTAAATAGAAAAAAAAGGAAGATATCTTTAAAAAAAATCATTTTTATAAAAGCATCTTTTTTCCTTTCTTATGGGATTCAATGAGTATTTCCAAACATTTAAGACTTGAGGATTTTATAAACTTACAATAGAAGACTAATGTTTTGAAAGAATAGTTCATTCACCATTCAAAAAGTTTATCACACACACACACATACACACAAAGTATGTATATAAATTAATAAAAGAATATCTTCTACCTGATCCTGAGTCTTAAATTTGATTGTGGGTATAAATACATGCTCAACAAATTTCCTTTCATCTTGATTTGAAATTCAATACAAATTCCTTTAAACTAATTTTATTGCAGATACATGACTATAAGTGAAACCAGATCATTTTTTAATTATAATGCCTAATAGTTTGCTAATTCTCTGCAGGGTTCTCCATACTGCACACAAGTACTAATTAGATATAGTATAAAAATTATACTTTAAAAACCCCATCTTATTTTGTTGCACATTGTCTCTCCTTAGTTTCATCTCATCTTTTATTGTTTTACTTTCTGCGAATGGCAAAATATGCAAGATGTATAAAAGAATAATTTTATGTTAAACACAGTGTCATTAAAACAGTGAGATATTGTATAATGTGGAAAATCCTGCAAAGAAACTCTGGTGAGGAAACCTTTAATACTTTTTAAAACAAACACACATATATATATATATATATATATATATATATATATATATATATATATATATATATATATATATATATATATATATATAGAGAGAGAGAGAGAAAGAAACAGAGACATTATCTGCTTGTCTATGATGCACAAATTTTCTCCCTTCCTAAAAAACAAAAATGTATCCAGATATTGCACAATCTCCAATGAACTGGAATAGTGGATAGGAATCTGAACACTTAAGGTTCAAACTGTAAAGTTCAGAGGTTGTAGTAATTTGGTGTGAGCTGTAGCCCTAAATTCTCTTGTAAAATATTCTAGAGAACATCAAATAATATATATATATATATATATATATAAAAGATTGGACATAAATAAAATCTATGAAAGTCAGTGTCTGGATAAGTTAAGTGAACTATATTATATATTAAACAGTAATAAATAAAATAGTTTAACTTATCTGGATTCTGACTTTCTTGGATATTTTGTATATTCAATCTTATATATATATATATATATATATATATATATATATTAAAAATATGCATAATACCATATATTGATTGCACAGCTCAGAATTTCGTACCATTTGCAATCTTCAGATATATATATATGTATGTATGTATTTGTATACAAATGCTAGCTCATGCATTTACTTATATTTATCCATTTGATTATATATATATATATATATATATATATATATATATATTTATAATAAGTAAAATTACCTTAAACAGACTGGTAATGTATTGCATTTTTATATTCAATCTTTTTAGAAAAACATGTTTTTAAGTTCTCTTGTTCAAATAGAAAATTATTGTCTATATCTCTGTTAACATCTTTTTCTAATGGGATTCATCTAAAGTATTGTACCATTTTGAAAAATTGCCATTAACTGATCATTTTTACTTGAATAAATCAATGTAAAACAAAAGATTCATTGATGTGAAGTTACAAATGATTATTTGACAGTAAGAAACTAAGATAATCAAGACAGCAAATATTGATACCACTAGAGTATTTTCAATTTTACTTGAACAAGTTTCACTTCAATAAATACAAAAAATGTATAGGTTAAACAAGAAACAGATTAGTGTCAGATTAGCCATAGCATCTACTTAAACCAATATGGTTAACAGAACTGATGGCCATAATATGAGTAATACTCACTTTTAAGCTAGCCATCTGATCAATATGGCCAAAGAAATAATAATCTTCCTAAACAGAAGAGCTACACTAAATATTTCTGTCAGTCAATATAATGAATTATACATAAGTTTATATCAGCAACAGTCCTAAAAGGATCTTTACTTTTGCTTTCATAAATGAAAAAAATGTTACCTAAATTGAAAACACAAAAAATATTTCAAGAGATTTGTGTATTTTTACTGTATGCTCATCGGTCAGTACTGAATATAAAGAAATAATGATATATAAAAAAAAGCCAACTATGAAGCAAGATGTTTGGACAATAAATTTGTCTTATAACAAAAGGGAAAAAAATTGTATAAATACATTTAATGCTTGAAGTTTCCAAAACAAAACAAAAAAGGGCCATCAAATGGGCTTTATGTAAATATATCACAACTTTTCTTTCTTTGCTGTTGTTAAACTTTTAACTTTAAGACTTTGAAATCTCTACAAATTTTAATTAATAAGTAACATGTAAAACACCGCGAAAAATATCACAATGACAACACAAAGTTTATTCAGTTGTTTCTGAATTTTTTCTTTTTTTCCTAAGCTTTTTTTTTTTTTTTGGCAAAACAAGAATTACATATGTGCTAATCACTGGAGTCACATTATCAGAACAAAATCAGCAAAATACTTGCTTAAGCTTTTTTTACTTCTTCTTTCTACTAATTTTTTTTTCTATTATCATTTCTTTTCTCTCTAATTTTTCTTTTTTCTTTTGTTAATTCTTTGCAGTCTTTTTATTTTTCAAAATTTTTTCAGCAGTTGGGTCAGTCTTTGAAGGTTTCATGAATTCGGATCTGTGTTTACAGAGAAAACACAAAAGCATAAAACATGTTTTTATGTCAATTTTTCATGATTTTCCTTTTAATTAAAGTTTTTTCATTAACTAAATGAATTTATATTTCATCATGAAAGCAATAATAGAAAAAACAATCCCAAAATCAGAAAATATATATATATATATATATATATATATATATATATATATATATATATATATATATATAAATTTCATGTCTTGTCTGGTCGATTAAGAAGGATCAGACTAAAAGAAATCAGTCTTTAATTTTCAGGTTTTTTTAATTTTTTATCATGTTGAGTTCACAGCAAAAAATGTTTGAACATGGGGGTGGGAGTGAATTCAAAGGTTTGTTTTCAGCAGGATAATTTGAAGATGACAGCAGTCAAACACTGGGGCTAGACTGTGGGGAAGGAATATGGGTGGAGGGAAAAATGGAAAATATTGTCTGTTCTTTTGCAAGTTGCAGACCATCATGGTCCATAATACAAAGTGCCAATATCCAGTAAAAATTCTCAGTGAAAAATCTCACTGAAAATTATTAAAGAAAAAAAAAGAAAGGAAGAAAAACCAGTTGTATTTTTCCAAACATCTCCAAAAGATGTAATACTTAACTTTTTGGTTTTTCCAAAGAATCTGTAAAATATTTATAGTCGTACCAAGCTTTTTTAATCTGACAAAAGATAGTTGCCCTTTTCCTACACCAGCAAAAATTATTTTTGTTCTTCATTTCATTTTTTGTTTTTAACTTCAAGATTTTGTGAATTATATTGTGGGGTTTCTCATCACAACCACCAACAAATGCTAAATAGGTTTAAAAAAAAAAGTGTAAATGTAATTTCTTTTACTTGACCTCATATTTTGAGTACCTTTTTGGAATTTTTAATACTGTAATAATCTCTTGAAATTGTAAAAAAACAAATAAGAAAAAAGATTATATAAATAAATTTTTAGAATAAAAGCGTAAATGATATGGAAATCTTTTACCAAAAATTGGCATTTTCATTTTATAGTAAGAATAATTGTAAGTCTTCAGAGAAGGTGATGCATTGGTCACATGACCATCAGGGCAAAAATTTACTCACAAACAAGATGGAAAATTGGTTTCTTTATTTATTTTTGTTCTTATAAAACTTGAGCATTTTTCTTTTTTGTTTTCTATCACCCTGTAAGGAAAGAGTTGCTTATTCAAAATATGAAGCCAGGTAAAAACAAGAAAAAATGAAAAATACCAGCAAGTTCCCATGAATGTTGCCCTTTCTTTCATTTATTTTCTCTTATTGAAGAAAAAGAGATTACACTTTTATCCTTTTTTAGACAAGACAGATAAATTCAACCGGGTATCGTCATTTTAATTCTATCCAGTAAGCAATATTATAATTGACAATACAAGAATAAAATTTTAAATTGAATATCACACTGCTCAACTTCTAAATAAACAAATTTTTACCAGAAAATAGGACTTTTTTTTCTTTACCAGACCTCATATTTTAGCATAAGATCGATAAGTTCATATAAGTTTCTAAAAGTAAATTTGTATGTTATGTTCTATGTTTTTGATTAATAAATTTTCACAGTAAAACACAAGATTTTCTTCTTTTTACTTCATCACAAATTTTTGATATGTATTTAAACACTTTAAGTAATAGCTTTTATTTCCAAACCACAAAAGCAAACAGCAAAAAAAAAAAAAAAAAGAAAGAAATGTTTATAAAAGATAAAAGAAATTTATCAAATCAATTTATAACCATCACACATGAAAACTAAAGGCAGAAATACTCTCCTGTTCTGGGAGGAAAGGAACATTGTAAGATCTCATGATCATGACATTGTGAGGTTTTTCTTGCCTCTTTTTGGTAAATTTGAAAATTATTTTTCGCCCTATTTTGTGTGTGTTTTTTAAAAAAAATTAAAAGTTCAAGATTTAAGATTGTCGAAGATATTTTAGAA